AGCGACCGTTTATCGCTCGGGCTACCAGTTAAGTCGAAGCGAAAAAGTCCGAAGCAGAGGCGCGAGCAGCCAGAAGCAGTAGAGGCTGTTGCGGCGATAAGAGAAGGAGGCACAGAGGGACGTACGAATTGGCGACCGGCGACGTAGAGGGATCGGGACAAAGTGAGAGAAAAGAAGAAAAACGTTCAATTGACGTACGCTCGTTTGCCAGTAAGCATTGGCAGAAGCAATCGGTTGCAACCAGCTTCCGGCGTTACCTTTTACCTACTACAAACGTCTTCGAAGCAATACGACGATGCAGAGCAGTAGAAGCTGCTGCACGAGGGCATCGGATGAAAAAGGAAAAGTAGAAGAAAAAGCAAAATATATGTGTAGAAGAAGTATGGGTAAAGAGGTTAAGTGTTTGGGCATGTTACGTCGGGCGATAGTAGGACGAAGAAATACTTACTAGCACAGTGTGATGTGAGTGCGTCCGACGTAGTTCGCAGTTGTTAAACGTATAGATATATCATGTATGCAGGGATGGATGAATACATACGACTATGTAAATAGTATGTGCTACTTTGTTTCGATTCAACATGCCAGCTTGCAGAGCATTGAGCCTATACTTGCTTACGCTTCACTTATTTGTTCTCTATGTGTACTTTTGATATTGAACAGTGCATAACCCACGTGGGACCTTTTCGTATCGTTCTTGTGACATCGTCGCTCAGTCGATTCAATATCGTAAAGGGAATAATCGATTTCATCTAATTGAAATCTAGGTGAAATATAGAAGGCTATAAGAGAAACGACTGCATAACTAACAAGCAAAAGTTCCAGTTTTCGGCCTCAGTCGGCTTTACCAGATATTGATAACAAAACCCGTAATTCGGTTGATTAGCTTACACTATCGCTAGAATCTTTAAACAGATCCTAGTAGTCTATACTGCGAGAATAGTTTGGGTTATTTTTTTTTTAAAAGTAGCATATGAAAAGCTGTTTTTCTGTTTTCAACCAACTTCCATGTAGATCTCCTAGAAATAAGTGCACTACTTGTTCCTTCGGCTCTTAGAAGTATAAACACCCAACCGAAAAGACACCCTCTAAGAATATCACTATTCATTAGAAGAGCAGTTTGTTAGAATTTTTGATACTAACAAAGATGACTGTCATTGGTTATGGAATAAGCTAATGTAGTCAAGATATTGCAGGCTACGCTATACGGTTTGCAAGAGCAAAGCTCGCGATACAAATCGATTTCATAACGCCGATATAGAATCTTACCGAAAGACGAATCGAAATTATACCGGTCAGTAAAACTGGATAGTTTTAAATAATCCGAAACAAGATTTTTATATACTTACGCCTTTTATCTAACTCAGTCTTGTTCACCACCAGATCTCTTTTTTTTTGTAATAAAAATATGTGCATACGTGTCGGTTCGAGACAGGGCTTTCAGCAAAATGGGTCTGGTCCTATTTAGAAGGTCTGCCTCCCAGTTGTGATGTTACCAAGCTCGCGACCCTTGCGCCGCTAATGCTTTTATGGCACGACCACGAGAAATTCGTAGAAACAACAGGTTATGGCCGGCAGCCCTAAGCTTTTAAGGCTTACATACCTCACTGCAGAAGCTCCGGCTGCGAGCACTTGAGGTACTTCCTACGACAATGATATGATGACATTCATGCAAACCTACCCATGACAAAACCCTACCCTATCAACACAGTTTTCAGTAACTTCAGTCGAGGGTTTTGTTTCTTATCCCCCAACAGGGACATCCCGCTATCTGTTGGACTTTAGTCAGGCAGCAAAAGACAATACCGAAGCCTTAGTACGTCCTTCTAATTGTAGTTAGATACTACACAAAACTGGCCTTTCTAATAAATACCATGAATACTAATCGTGTCGACTCTATCTGCTATACCCAGGCGTCGTATTGATAGTATCACACCTACATGTAGATGGCGCATAACTAGGTCTACGCTGAAGCAAGTTTATGCTGACTTAGTGGTGGTGGGTGGAATCTGGCTAACACAAGGATCTATTACATGGCACAGCTGTTAGAAAACATGACGTTGTTTTTGTTACTGAAAACTAAACACTTTACTCGTATTCATGAAGCATCGTTCAAAAACTACATACGAACAGCAAAACTAACAAAAATAATAAAGTCCGCAGCCAGTTTAATGAGCACGACATATAACTACCCCTTAAATTTTGTTTGCCTCTACTTGAACTTCTAGATAACTTAGCCAAATATTCAAAAACGCTACACATTGAACCTTGCACTTTTTTTGGAATTTGCTTTTACGCCCATCGATGTACCTCTTCGTCGATCTTTTCAAAGATAACAATAACACATCTGCGTAGCGACCCGATTGATCACAGTAAAGACTCTGCGCATCCATATTAGTTGTTTATAGTATGACATTATACTGTATATCCTCCTTGCTTGGTCGTTTATTGGACATTGAAAGGATCCGTGCAATTTGAGGATTGTCAACGAGTCAGGGAACGTCTGGCGTTCCATTTTGTGTACAGCGCGTGGCATCGTTAAGATGAGAAAACACTATCCAGACTTAGGCATATTTATAGTTTCGATAGTTCCGAGTGTCGCGGTCTCTTCCATTCGTTTTGTGTCAACGAGTTTCAGGATGCTGTACAAAACATTTGAAGCGCACGTTTTTGTTTATTGTCCTCTGCTTTTAAATCTTTCCTAAAATGTTATCACATATCAATAACAAGGCAAGTTGCGGAGAGCCGGTTGCTCGTCGATACAAACGCGCCCTACGACTGCGCATGCTGTTCCACGGCATATGATACTGGGATCCCATCTGACTTTCTAACGTTGCCAAATGCATTTGCCGTTTGCTCGTACTGCATAACTCGCTACTTCCGTCCTGCCACCTCGTTTCCTTGCGCACTAGCAGAAGCTAGCTTTGAACTCCGATGTTGCATACAGGGTGGCGTTCGTTCAACGCGGACGAGGGCTCCGCCTTTGAGGGCCCTTTCAAAAGGACGTCACTGTTCCATTTTGCTTCCCACCTTCAGAGGTTCAGCACGCATTGAGTTGGACTATGTTCCCTTTTCGAGGTACAGGCAGGAAAGCGGAAAGACAGACAGACAACTTACCAAGTGGCTAGCCAGCCGAGACCGGCTAGGGAACAAGAAATACATCTGCCTTAGCGAGAGGCTGGTAGAGATAAAGGGAGAGAGGGAACGTCAGCGAATTTGAGAGAGAGAGAGAGAGAGAGAATTTTACCGGCATTGCGGCGGCCACTTCCTTTTGAAGTCTCTCCTGACAACTCTCCCCTTCCCGGTTTCTCCATCCATCCAGACTAGCAGTATATTTACATTTCCACCAAAGGACTTGTCGTTTTTGTCGACTTCGGGTTCCAACCTGAATTCGAGCTTTCGTTCTTACTCCTGTGGCCAGTGCCATTGCCGATTGGTGCTGGTTAACCCCAGACGTAACGACTGAGGACTAGGAAAACGAACGGCACTGTTAGGCCTGTTTATTTGTTCATCTTGACTACAGCAGACTTATTAGAAGGAAGCTTAGTTGGTTAACGTTCTACGTCGCGTCATCCGTTTCTACATCAGGAATACGTACATACAAAAAAAAATAGTCATTTACTCAAAAGGCACGAAAACACGCCTTCATTTTTCTCCAAATTGACTATATACGGTGTGCTTATCCGAATCGTGGAGCACCTACCTGTAGTCAAACTTCAGCATAACAATCACAGCGGTTAACTATGCTGGTCGTAATAGATATGAACCACCAATGTGCGTACTCTTCAATATAGTTTTGTACCTATCTTATATATAAATCAACATGTTATTCATTACGCTTCTAGTATGATCTATCCTGCATCAAATTTGTCAGTCAGTACAGTCATTGCCATCAGTAGCATTGGGATAGCTAGGCTGTCGGTTTCTAAGACACAGCACAGAACAGAACGAGCTAGTGCTCCTGTAACAAGCCGAAGTCCAAGCTAGCCCCTGATATCTCCCTCTGCTTCATTGCGAGTAAGGCAGCACATCAGAAAGCATGCCAGCTAGCTGGTAGCATATTTATGAAGATGCATAGGCTGCTAGTCTATGTGCATGCATGTGTACATGCAAGACGTGTGTGCTGACGTGCGCCTTTCTGACTGTTTATGGCAAGATAAACAGAGAAACAGAGAGAGAATGAACGCTAGACTATAACGAGCTAGTCACATTGGCCAAAATTGTATGTACTGGAAGGGGAGAAGGGGTCTGCGAGTTTGCTATACTGAAGGAAAATCTTCTCTAACAAGATGCTAATGTTGCTGCCATTTCTGCGCATGAGAAATACGCGCTTCCAGTCTACTATTTGTGTCCCTGTGGCTTCTCTGCTAGATGATCTAGGACGCGTATGAACTGAAACGTGCATGAATTTATACATATAGGTAGGTGTAACAGGCTGTGTATATTTACGTCTCAACGCTGACCATAGCTGCACAGCCCAGCAGTATGCAAGAGAGACATGGATTAATCTCGCGTGAATATACCGCTTTTACCTGAAAGCTGTCAGCTACGATAGACTTCACATGCGGCAGTTGGTAATAATCCGTAAAGTATTGCATCTTACGCAGCGATAGGTAAGGAGATGTTCGTACCCTGACTTCGCAGCTCCTACTGCCTAACCATTCGTTGTCATAGGTTTTATATGGCACAATCGCATGTAGAGGAAAAAAAGCCGAACGAATGACTGGCTTAACGAAACTATGGATTGTGTGATGTTAGACACTAGGTCTCGTAATTACCGCTTCAACATGGAAAAATTTCTCGTGACCCGCGCGCATGTAATTAAGTTTAGGTAAACGTGTTTTACCTGTGAATCACCTAGAGACAGAGGCAAATGCCGTCAATCATTCATTGAAGCCCATCGTCCGGTGCGTTCACTACATATGTACCACAGTCGCGATTGTATCACATGATTGTTTTTTAAGAGGATATAAATAATTAATTTCTGTAGTTGCGAAACATACCTGTACCCGCATAGAGTATCTACGATCTCTTTGTTGAAGTAATTAGTCCACAATCCTCCGTTGGTCACCAGTCCAACTGACTCCGTTGATTGATATCTTCCTTTATAGCGCACAAAATATGTAGATCAAGGGTATCCGTAATACTACAACAAAACTTCTGTGTGTTTTTGCTATAGATTAGTAGCAGCAGTGATAGCGATAACAGTGAGATATCCTGGCACTGACAAGGTTCGACGACGACTGCGGTGCCCACGACCGGCAGTCAGTCTCACAAATATGAATACACATAGACAGGCAAACCTTCATACAGACTAGACGCACTCATGCTTTGCCTTACCTAGAGCTGCACCGCGACGCCAGATTATTCAGAGTTGTAGAATTGTGGCGCCGATCTTTTATTAGTAGTTGCCGAAGCACTATTCATTGGCGTTCGGTATATAGTGTACAGCACAGCACAGCCGTCGGCGAGTTGCTCTCCGCGGGACGATTCCTGTATGTTGTCCTGGTAGGTTGTCCTGTGGGTTCTCCTGGACGGATGGGAAAGAGCAGGCGAGCGTACCAATGCCCTCGCCTTCTCCCTGGGGGGAAGGAAAACGTTCAGAATGAACGGTAAAGCATGGGTAGCACAAGAGGCAGCTGTCTCTCGGAAGATCGACAGTGCAAACGACTAGAGCAGCTGAGAAGTTGAAGAAAAAGAGATGATTTTTGCTAGACAAACTATACGGCGTCTTTGTTATCTTCTACTCTACCAAATGTCTTTCTAATAGGTTCTCGAGAGCGTAACACAAGATGCTATTGCATAGTTTCGAACGTGCAATGCCAATGTCAGTACTGTAGCAGGTGAACTTCGTTGGCCGACGGACTATGTTTGCTTCTTTGTTTAAGTTAGCATAGATGTGGCCGGACGCATGAGATTCAGCAGGATTCACCTTCTGGCTGCAACTTTCTGCAACCAGACGACTCGATAGAATTGGAGGGAATGAAAAAAAAGGAAATTCCCCTAAGAACAATATATGATAGGATGCCACCGAATAGCACCTGCAATTCAACGATTTGACTATATAATATTTTCATGGTGTACTTGACATTCGAGCGTTTTGGCAAATAAAACTACAAAAAGAACAAATTAACCTTTTCCGCGAATTAGGTAGAAGAGTGGCGATGAGTTACTTTCCTGGACGAATCCACGCGGCTGCTCTTCTGACTCCTCCCCGGACTTGTTGAGCTATTACCGATCGTTCCCAATCGCATGTTTATCCGTTAACTCCAAATGGTATGCCACAATTTCGCTTAACACGTCGTGATATCCGTCACGAAGCCTTTAGCCACCTGCTGTCTGCTAGCGTCATCCGATGTACTTTCGTTGCTTTTGGGAACGGAGGCCATTTGTCCGTAAAAACAACATCGTCGGGTTGCTAGCCTTGGTATAATATTAAACGTAACAACAAAATCGTCGAACACTGTGGTGGATATCTTCATGGAGCTATAAAATTCGAAGCAGTACGGCTGGCGAGAACTGACCGGGTTCCGCCAGTATTTTGTGGTGCTTTAACCTAACTTGCTGTACATTCCAAGGGCTGAAGCTCCACCCCAACTTAACAATATTACTCAATTTAAGAAGCTAAGACGATTATTCTATTATACGCATAACGTTCGATTAGCTATGACAATTTGTCGCCTTTGTTTTTTGCTTTAATTCTGCGTTTTGTTGTTTGATTTGCTTGAGTTCGCTTCCGAATACTCATCCGCATGACGGTCGCAAAGATCCTCGTTAAATGATCCTGAGCAAAGTCATCAAAAGCTGAGACAATTCTTAGAAAAATACATTTTCTCAATCCCGCTTGTCCCGTTATGGTGCTCGACTGCGTTCCTCGTTTTTGCTTCGATCGCTGACGGTGCACATGGGTATGCGTCTGTCGGGACTCGACTCGACTCCAGGAGCCTGGCCGATTAAGGAGACAGTTTGTCGGTACGCACCGCACAGTTCGCCTGTGCCTGTTTTCTTCGTTTTTTCCTTTTCCCGCTCAATCCGAATCCGTCAGTCCTGCCATACTCCGTATGAGTGCCAAGTATCGAAAGTTCTTGGCCGAACGCGGCTAGGACCTTTCAGGAGCAGCGAGAACTGCGAAAGAGACAAGTCATTCGTACTGTGCAAACGAGCCGCCAGTGCTAGCATTTTCTCTGACGGCACCCGCTGCAAAAAGATATATTCCACGCCTCGGTAACCGTCCAGCATTGGCAAGCTGGCGAGAAGCGTACTTTCAGTTCAACTTCAGCGTCGTTCGATGGCTCATAGCAGTCCACATACTTTACGGGGTCCATCTATCCGCGCCACAAATCACCCAACCTGCCGCTGTAGTATATCTTGCTTTCGCCCTTTTTTTGCGTAGGCCCTCTTCCCAATTTCTCAGTCGTTCACTGTTTGCGTTCATTCCCTATGCCACGCTAGTGTATGTGGATGGTTCACCATCAATAGGCCGATGCCGAGTCGGCATCCTTACCGCTGGCTCGCTAGTGCTACCACTATGACTACTGCGACTAGCTATCCGCCGCGTTCCATAAGAAGATAGTCGAAGCCAACGCAGCAGCTCTGTGACTGAAGCAGCATCATGGCTGGAACTGCCGCTCTCTCCCTCATCGTTTAGGCTCGTAGCTAGGTCCTTCTCGCTTGGCCGCTAGCCACCGATGAAACAGCTCATGCCGAACATGACACAGACATATCATGTTCTCCTTTCTGTCGGGTACGAAGAAGGAATATCCTGTTTTGCCTGTTTCACTCCCAGTCTTCCGCCCTCTCTCATGACCCAGCTTCTTGGCATCATTCATGTAAAGTAATTCATAGCTCCCGTCGTAGTCCATTCCGAAAACAGCTATTTCCTAGACATGTGCTCATAAAAATAGCCTCAGCGGCAACGGCCGAATCAATAGTAGCTTAAACAAACCTTCAGCATACGAGCGTACTCCCGGAACGAAAACTTCGGTCAGCTACTATATCGGCCAGCAAGCCTTCTTAGCTTTGTTTTGCCTTCGAGTCTTCAACCTTCGAGATCACGAGCAGTCATTGCAGCCTGTCCTATTTGCTTACTCCGCTGTATTCGCACGTTCTTTGCTTCTAACCTGTTTCTGACTATTGAAATCATTCCACTCTGTGGCACCGCAGAAGATTCCGCAGCGTACTCGTATTGCGTTCGCGTTCTTCACCAAAGCACGTTCTTTACCGTCCTCGTCTGTCTAGTGTTTCTCAAACTATCTTTTTCCTTTTCTCTCCCACTCTTGTTTCCAGCATAGCGTACATTGTCTAACGTTTTCGACAATGTACGTTATGCTGGATGAGCAGAAATCGACAAGCCGTTCGTTATGATGGAGCAAGCATTCACTTGGCCTCGTGGGTCTTACCACAAAGCAGTCTATAGGGTGGAAATGTGCGAGTAGAAAATGGATCTGTATTAGTTGAGAACCAGTGGCAGCAATAGTGATCTATATAGATAGAAATATTGGGGGGTAGGTAGTAGTAGTAGGTGTGAACTACCAGAACCACTAGTTATTTTTTTCGTGTTTTCAATTAAGGAGGTTTCCTAAGGATAGAGATACAGTATTGCTTAGCCAGCCTTTTTTGATAGCCGGCGCTTTTGACACACTTTCTCTATATATTCCTACTTATTGATCTACGTAACCTTTCCTTTAAAAAAACCAACCATGTAAAGAGATGTCATACCATATCGCGCTACAGCCATTTCGGATGGAAATTTTATATTCTATATGCGAAAGGTCATAAATTAAACATGCTAAATTAAAAAATACCACTGTGTATCAAACGCCGATTTTTGAACGTCGCATGAGCTCCAAGTATTCGTTCATGTCTTTGGCAGACACGGTTTTTCCTAATAACATGCGAATTCGTAGTCCTATCCGTCCCTGCAAGACGTATACTTTGATTTTGTCGTTTCTTTACGAGGACCCCAGACGCTGCAGACTGCTCAGCTTGAGGCGATAGAACTTACATGTCAGACTAAAAATGGTTCGCTCAAGCCTTCCGTTTGTTCAGCAATTAATGCTAATCGAACTAGCAGTCACGCCCCAACCCCTCGATCTCGCTATTATTTGCTCAGTTCACCTATTTCATTCGCATTTTGTTTCTAGCTCGAAAGCGACTAGCTTTGATCCACGCTTACCTCGTTAGCGGCAATTCTTGCCCCTTGTCCTTTGCCTATCCCTCAACTGCTTGATAATGTGGTCTCTTCTTTGGAGCTTTCTCTAAAGTCTGAAAAAAAAGGCTCACTGAGATGAGAAGGGCCGATAAGAGTAAACTGTAATTCGAGTAACATCATCTTCATAGCGGCTTCTCCGTCCTGAATTTTTCAAAACATAACAAAGGGGTTATGCTAACATTTATGAGTAGTCGCTCTACGCAGTTTGTGCCGTCGTCAAATCCCGGTTAAAGCCAGTTGGGACCAAACTCGTTTTCGCTGATGGCTTGACTTCATCTTGACGTCTTGATCATTTCATGTCAATAGATTGGGTTAACTACATTCTACACATTCTACCTCAACCGCTGTTAAGAAAAACTAATTCATTCCCGTCATAGCCGGTTCACAAATATGTAACAATTCAACTGCTTTTAAAAGACTACGAAGCAATTGCCTTCGCTGAGTAGGACCAGCCTGGAGTAATTGAAAAAATTCAGTCGACAAGTTTCGAACCGGCCTGAAGAAAACGAATCTATGTTGACCTTCAAAACTCGGTACCAATAAACTTGTTTCGAAGTTCAGAAGATAACTAGCTTATTGACACATTTTAGTTCGTCAAAAGAAGGAGCCCCGGGGCAAAACGCTGGCTACAATCTAGCCTATACGGCCGAACCGACAACCTCCTGCCAGTCGTAAGCGAGTAACTGATGTGTTTAAGAACTAAAAAAAGTATACAGATTCAACAGAGAACCCGACTACTTTGAAAATATGTAATCTCAGTAATTTTCTTCTTTCAAGTCGAATTAGATTTTAACATACTATTGTTATTTTATTGTGGCAAATCTTCAAAGCGGGTTATGAATTGAACGGGTGTGTCGGGCTGTTGTGTTCTGCTTAGGTTATAGCTTGAAATTTCAATTGAGTTACTGTTAAAGTCTTCGAGCTGTCCATATGTATGTAGCTTCTGTCTAAGGGGTTGAGGAATACGCAAGAATCGAAAGGGGTCGAAGCTGGTGATCGCCGTACGGTTTGAAAAGTGGTGATGAATATACCTCGACCTCCGCTTCAGAAATTAGAACCCATTCAAGTATGTATCCAGTAAATTGCTGCGTAGATATTTAGTCAATGGAGAACTCCATAATTTTTCTAATAAATGATATAATTTTGAAATACATGCCATGAATCATTCGTAAAAACTCATAAAGCAGAGATAGTGACACTTGCCTGAAACATGCTATTGATTTCATCCGTCCGTGCCGGCTCGGATGAAATGTTACGTGTTGTTAGAAATACAAACGCTATGATGCAAGCATCTTATTTATGTTGGAAAAGAGATGCAAATGGGTCCCTGTAGTGATGTACATATGCTTTTTTTTTTTTTTACAAGAAGC